CAGACAGTGGCGTTACTTTAAATTCGAATTCCAACACTCACTGTCAACGGTTGTATTACGTGTACGCCAATGTTTACACGGGGCCTCGGTTATTTTGTCACATCCAAATGACACTGTCCTGCATTACTGAGGCGATTGGGGTGCGAATGGTTAAGGATGTGTAGATGGTACGCATAATAAAATATTTCTCCAACGTCTTCTGTGCGCATTTTAAACCGGGATGTGAAAAGCGCAACCACATGTATTATGCCACACAGATCAGCAGTTAATCTTCGCTAGGCCGCTACAATCATTGAAAGGGACGACGTCAGTGTGGATTAATCAGCGCGCAATATTAACTTTTGTCCTCCTGAAAAAAAAAGGTGTTTGAAGTGTATTTGGATAAAAAATATTTCCTATTTATAAGGAGTAAAATGCACCACTCTACCGCGACCACGTCTTATGTAAACAATGCACACGCCATCGAACCAATGATCGACGCCGCATTATGTGACGTCACATGTAAAAGGCATTTGAACTTATAAAGAACAATCATCTTATACAGTGTTATAAGGAGGCTTTCGCAATACCTCTGTAAAACAGTTTGAAAGACCACAGTTAAAGCTGAAGTCCGATTACAAAACTACAGAGATAATTAAATAAAAAAATGTTAGCGCCCTAATCAACCGCCATACTTGTTTTCAATTTGTAGAACAAACATGGCGATCGTTTAGGGGTAACAAAAACACAGGAAGGCCACGCCGACATCCAGTATATGTCGTGTCAAGCAAAGTGTGCACATCTGGTTAGCTCGTCAACTACCAATTACCTCCTGATTGACCTATGATTTTTCACTATCACTACTATAAGCTTACTGAAAATATTATTGCCACACAATTATCATGTTTGATCAGGTACATATTATTTTATTAATTAGATGAAATAAGCCAACCACGATGTACCTTTGCTCTAAAAAAATAAAGAGAAAAACTGTCTTACACCAAACAGGACGATAACTTATTTTTTATTTAATTATTTATGTAGTTTTGTAATTTTGTATTCGGAGTTAAGCTTTAAACAAGACGGTTGATCTAAGGCTGAAAGTTTGTATGTTAAATATGTTGTACTGTAGAATATGTCCACCAAACACACCCAGCCGTACAGACCTAGAGTATGGTATAGTGTTAACGAAACGTGTCGTTATGTGAAAATTGATGGCACTGTTATAATATGTAAAAACCTTGAGAGGAAAAGTGCAGAAGTATGTTATATGTGTATATATAGTCTTAATTTATTTGTATATTTTAGTGATGTTGACATTATTTCCATCGCTGATTAAGAAATCATCGTTGTCATCGGGGAATTATATGTTTTTATGAAATCTTGTCTTAGTTCATGATGTGTATTGAGAGAAATGAAATGAAATGGGGTTTAACGTCCTACTGTTCTAATGAAGACGGGGAGCGACACTGTGGCCTACTCTTCTATCGAATTCCAACTGCCAAGGGATCTTTTACGTGCACGCCAATGTATACATGGGACCTCGGTTTTTCGTCCCATCCGAACGACTAGACAGCTGTCCTTGTCAGGCACACCGCCCTGCACCACTGACCGCCCTGCACGATGAACTTTCTCGGCGAATGCAGGGATCGAACATGCGACCTCCAGACTAGCGACCCATCTTCTTAGCCACTTTGCCACCATTTGCGTCAATGGATCGGCACATTTAGCAGAGAGGAGAATGGTATTTACTAAATAATTCGATTGCGCGTAGGAGTTTTTAGCAGTGAGAGGAAACCGGAGGACCAGCTCAGGAAAGGAAGGAGCGGATAACACCAGCCAAGGTTGTCTTTAACTTCAACGAATATTAGCCCGGAATAAATAGCACCAAACCAGTGGCGGAGCCAGCCGTCGGTGATTGAAGGGGCAAAGCTGGGGCAAAATCCAAGGTTAAGGGGGCAAAGGCACGAGCTTCAACTAGGGGTAGGGGGCCTCCCCCAGAAAATTTTGAAAAACAGGTTGCCGGAAATGCAGCCTGGCAGTAATTCAGGCACTGATCGATGAGGTAAAGTGTCAAACGAACGGACTTGCGAATCACGACGAAGCCCACTCACGAGCGTCAAAGTAGGGAGTCCTCCCCCCGAAAATTTTGAAAAATAGACTGCCGGAAATGCTGTCTTACAGTATTCTGTCAGGCACCGATCGTCGAGATAAATAGATCTGCCCAGATACCGTTCGTCGCCTGATCACTAGTTTATCCGACTAGAGAACAAAATGTCAAACGCACGGACTTGCGAACCTCAACGAATTCCCCTTGTGAGCGCCAAAGTAGCGAGTCTATTGGGGACCTCGCCAAGAAAATTTTGAAAAATAGACTGTCGGAAATGCTCTACAACATGCAAGTTTATGACTAAGTGGGGATGTGGGATTTATTCACCGTAGAAGGTATTGATTACCGAAAAGTATCACAAATACTTTTTTTATTTTCTAAAATTATCACTGACAAGGGAGAACCACGCCGGAAAATCTGGATGAACTTTCTCGGCCAATGCAGGGATCGAACACCCGACCTCCAGGCTAGCGAGCTAGCGTCTTACCCACTTAGCCACGTGATCCCCATATACCAGAGAGAGATGGACTTGAAAATTCCAGAAGGTTCTTCTAAACCTATGCCGTTATTATTAAGAATTATTGTACACAGATATATCCAATATACATGACTTGTGTTCATATTTTACTTGGTGTTGATGGAATAGATGTAAATATTAAAGACAATAGAGGTAGAACTAGTTTACTTCAGGCTGGTGCCATAGCTACCATGCTAGACTACTCAGACAGAACTGCTATACAGTATCTTGATATTAAAATTTATCAAAGTGTATTCCAACCCAAAAGAGTATTGTTGTTCAGTCCGGTGTCCGTACCACTACTGAGGTTTGGACAGGGGTTTCAAACACTCCCCAATGGGAGCCGCCCCAAAAAATGTAGATATGTCCCTTGATCGTTTTCGTGAACAACATACAACATCGAACATGGCGACTTGTGAAAATATAATCTAAACTATCTGTTTATTGCATAGTATTAGTTATAATTACACTGGACATTATGCGGCGATAACTTTTTGGGTGTTTTACATTTGTGTAAGATATTCACAAGAAGACGTGGCAATAATAATATGAAGAAGACAATAGTTTATGTAGGTGATTTGTTTTGGTTGGAAATTTCAGGTTGGGGTAAGCCATCTTTTTGCATCTTTTGTTTTAGAGTAAAGCCTAGGCTATATAGTCGTAGACGCAGTTCGTATAATTATTTACAGGCTTACCGGATCAGACATTTTGCAATCTTCAATAATTTGGTATACTGTTGGGAAAAAATAGAGCAATCAGTGAAGCGTGTGTAGAGAATAAGACCGAATGTGTACAGCTGGCTGACAAGAAGCAAACTGGAAGTGAGAGCGGCTAACCTTTCCAGGTCATAAGCTTGATGTCCGCCATATTTATTTCACAAATTGTAAACAAGTATGACGGCTTGGGAGCGTTAACTTTTTTTTATTTAATTATTTCGCTATTTTTGTAACTGGAGTTCAACTTTAATGTTCTACTTTAAACATTTGTGATGGTGTCAGATATAAGAAACAAACGCCACAGAGTTTATTCACGTCCTATTTTTTGTATAAACCGAGTTAATAAAGACTGACATACGCTACGGCGGCCAACTCCTCATTACATTTGTAAGTGTCAATGGATATTTTACGCGCACGCCAACGTGAGCTACCATCATTACAAACTGTCGTTTGGTTTTAGACTATTCGCATACAACTCCTTTGTCTGAGGCTTGCGAATACCCCCTTCTTTAGGACTCCACCGTGGGTTTTGTGTCGCTATCGCAAAGGTCATTCGTTTTTAACACACATTTCCATTTTGAAGCGAGGGCCTCAGCCAGAATGTGAACACTGTCATGTTCCTTGGACAGTTAAGCACATTTTGATTGAATGCAACCATCCCAAGTCCATAAGATCAAAATATTACCGTTGGCAGTCAGTACGTCAGTTATTTTCCCAACCGGAGAAATATATCAAAGCTCTAATTTTTTTAAAAAGAGACATATTTTTATTCCAAATTTTAATTGCATATGGTCTATAATATATTATGTTTTAAATATTTATATATGTAAAGGATTTGATATATTTGGTTTTAATTATACTTTCTGTGATATTTGGTTTTATTGACATTTATACTTTCTGTGATATTTGGTTTTATGAATACATTTCTGTGATAATGTTTTAATTTGTCTCGTTAAATTCACCATATGTTTAGCGCAATATGGCCCAGTTGGAGCTGACGTGTCATAAAACACCATTTCAATCATTTGACTACCATGGTTTTCATTTGTCGAAGGCAACTGATTGAACGTTAATCCCAGTGGTAGACTGTAACCTCTTGATACATAGGCCACCATCTATGTGGTTGTTTGTATTACCCATATTTATTAAAACACGTTACTGTTGCTTCCATAAAGTGGTTAATCTCGTGTAATGGTCAACTTAATGTTCCACATTAAACATTTGTGATGGTGTCAGATATAGGCAAAAAACACCACAGACATAAAATGAAATGAAATCGAACGAAGTTTATTCAAGTCCTACTTTTTGTATGCACTGGGCTAATGAAGACTGGTATAGCATTTGCAAGTGTGAAAGGATATTTTCCGTGCACGCCAACGTAGTCTACCGCGGCTAACACAATATTACAAAGTGTCGGAATAGGATTGAAGAATGGTTTTAGACTACGTGCAGAATTCTGATTTGTAGTCTACGGTGTTTAATTGGACACTTTCCAAAATCTAAGTGATATTGCACAATATTTGTCATTAATCATATTTTGTTTTCTGTAGGCTGTCTGAATAGGTTTCTACAGTTATAGATATTACTATTCAAATAATGTTTTAAAGTCTTTTGAAGTTGTGCACAAAGAAATGAATAAAGTATTGATCATACCGAATATTATATGATTCCTCGCCCAGTCAGATTATGCGAATGATCACTGATCAAAGCTTCGATCGGTGCATACAAATTATTTGAGAAATAACAGTCATAGGAGACATAGATATTTTGGATGTGTCTTAGGGATTGAGTGGGGTTATATGGTTTCGGTAAGATTCCTTATTTTCATTTATTGATTAAAGATTGGTATAAATAGTAATTAATGTTACAAAAGTGTGTTATTAATACAGACATTATTCACACAGTCTAGTTAAATTACGTGCTTAATTATAGATAAAGATAGAGATGATGATTATAGTCAATATAACTACCAGTATTCCACTCTCAATACGGATCATGAACTAAGACAATATTTTCTCAAAAACAGTATATTTCTTTGTGGTGAAAAGGGTAATCTTTCTCGGCCCATAATATTACACGAATGGTATTCAGAGACGATGTTACGATTTTGGAACGCCAGTGCGGCAAGACGGAGGTCCTGACAAGCACAGCTATCTAGTCGTTCGGATGGTACGAAAAGTCGAGGTCCCGAGTACACATTGGTGTGAACTTAAAATATGCTTTGGCAATTAGAAATGCTGTCCCGGCCAAATTCCCCTCATATCACATTGTATGATGTATGCCCTGTCAAAATTTTCCTCATTGCACACTGTATGGCTTATGGCCGTCTTCATTAGCCCAGTCGAAGCAGAACAGTAGAACGTTAAACCCCATTTTATTTTATTTCATTAAACACATATAAATTATGATATAGTAACATCTACCATGTATGACTTCTGTTATTGAAAATTGTTGTCACAGTATGAAGAACTAAATACAGTATTAAAAAGAGACATGTTTATTGAAAGTTTTAATTGTATTTGTCTAATGGATATTTGTTATTGTTATCAAATTCAAAGTATAGCAACACCTACCTAGTAATGGTTAGGCCTGTAAATATACCTTATACTTGTATATAAATTATAAAAAAAAACCAGAAAAGTTTGTAGACACACCCGCACAAACAAACAAAAACTAGGTATTTTCGGGACTAACATACTGGGTGTTTTAAAATTTCGCCGGCGGGTAGGGACCTTTACCAGTTGGGGAAAACTGAAGGACCCACAGGAAAGAGTCGATCACAACATCCCCGATTGTCTCCCTTTTAACTACAACGAATATTGGTCATAAGTAAAAGACAGCAGTAAGACACCATACAGATCTGGCCCGAATCACCTGGGAGACACTCTGCTGTCATTTTCGCATCTTGTATTTTGTCACAACCTGGACATCATCCCATTTCGAAACAATATGTCTACATTAGGGTGACCCGTGTACTCCACAGAAAGTTGGTCTCGACACGGCTAAATGTGCACGCTTCAGTTGCGTGTCTCGAACTGATTTCTGACTACCCCGCACTCTCTTTGAGTCGATAAATAGCCATGGCACGTGCAATTCTCTACAAATCTATCAACTATTACAGCCGTAAAAAATCTATTGTTGACGATTTTGAATAGCAGTAAAATTTAGCTTCTTGGTTATTACAGCAGCTTTAGAAATTACGTTTGTTTTATTTTTTAAATTGCTTTATCATTAACTGTACCGTTAAGAGCGGCTTCTTTTGGTTTAGTACAAATACTATCTCTGAATCACTTTCTTTAGCAGGAACATGATACTAGCAGTAGTTTCATTTTAGTTTTACAAGTTTCTTAAAACAATTGTTGAGTTGTCTAAAGTGCTTATTTCTAAATTCAATTTCTTGTTCTAGCTTTCTGTTATGTTTCGTAAAAAAAGTAGTCTTGATTATCCCGACCTGTCAATCAGACGTATAATGGTCGATAGACTGGTTAAGCGAGACTACTTTCAAAACAAGGGGACGTAACTTATCTTTTGCTCAAAAGTGTCTGGATGTTATGGACGACACTTGGAACCAGTTTTCAGTCTATTATTTATAGATGATGAATGGCCATAGCTTATTAAGTACAACATGATCGTTTATTTAGTGACTATAATTGTGTGAAACTGATTTGAGGCTTGGCATATATATAAATATTGTGGCGTAATTGTCGAGATATTTGGAGATATTTATTTATGGTGGGTCACCCTATCTACATCCCGATTTATTTTGGCCAAGAAGTTAATCTGGACACGGTGGGCCTTGGTCGTCTATCAGAACAAAACCACTACGTAACTCTTTCTATGTCATACATGCACGATACATGAGAGAAATGGGCTAAAATGACTCCATAATCCTTATTGGTCTAAGATATTCGAACCCAAGAGATTCTGGTTTTTAAGTCTAGTGTTCTCACCGCTTTGCCGCCATGTTTTGGACAGGGGTTTCAGAAGTTTAGGACCACTGGGTGGCAGCGAACCCCGGGGATAAAGACCAACATCAGAGTCACCAGTCCAAGTTCGTAACCCCCCAGGGAGAAAGGCCGGTGTGTTTAAAGTGGGTAAGAACAACGGTTATTGGCCACCATTAGTCACCGGTCCATTGGTTTAAAGTAGGTTATAACCACTGGGATATAGGCTACCATCAGCGTCACCATTCAAGTGTGTTATAGTAGGTTATAACCACAAGGCCATAGACACCATTTATAACCACAGGGACATTGGCCACCAACAGTCACCAGTGGCTTAAGGTAGGTTATGATCCGGAGAGAGGTGCTTACGGGCAACTGTCTAAATAATAGGTTATATTATGGAAGCCTATAACTATCATTCACAATTTCTACTTTTCGCCCATTCAGAACGCGGAAGTCGAAAAATACACAAGCCAAAATCGACTCCAAAATAGGAAACTAAGAAATAAACGCGGTAATAGCGCCCCCCGTTTTTCCTAATTTCTAATTTTCGACGTGCATTTTGCCTTGGTATACCGTCTTTCAACTGAGTAATATTTTTGTTTTGATCTTGTCAATAAGAAGGCACCCAACACGCATACCAAGCAAAAATGCAACTCGAAATTAGAAATGAGAAAAAAAAACCGACCTGTCATTTTGGCTTGCTGTCGTGCTGTCGATTTTTCGAGTTTCGACTCGGAAGTTGTTGTAGTCTCAATTGTCCAGGTCGAATTTGTCTACGTGCAATCAGGGCACACACTGGCTTTCATTTTTTTCCGCTAAAATGGATAATAATTTTTATAAAAAAAAATTGTTCATATTTTATTCCACCAAATGGAATATTTCATCTGCCAAAAATGCCTGAAAAAAAGACAAACTTGCAACAATTTAATCTACTATCTAGGCCTATAATAAAACAATTATTACGTAACGGTATATATAATATAAAAAATCCATCTTACATCCGTGCACGTAAAATCACAACCTTCTGTTACTTCGACGAAAAACCGAGGTCCCGTGTACACATTGGGGTGCTGGTAAAAGATCCTTGGGCAATTGGAATTCGATATAAGAGTAGGCCGTAGTGCCGCTGTCCGGGCAAAATTTCCCTCATAGCACAATGCCCGTCTTCATTAGCCCAGGTTAGGAGCAGAACAGTAGGACGTTAAACCCCATTTCATTTCATTTCTGTTACTTCGTGGATTATGACCCCTGATTGTACGAATAATCCCGTTCTTAGCCTGTGGACTATTTAGAGGTAACAATCGTTATTTGATTTTATAATCCGTTACACCATAATTACGAATGTCGTAAAAATACGATCCAAACTGCCTGACAAAATCGCATTACGGAAATAGTGTAAAGGTATGTAATACCAAGCTTGTCGACGAGCTGTGTAATATAATTAGGGATTTGTGAAATAATAATAATAACGTTAGGTGAACATGAGAATAGTTTGACCTAAAGTTCACGTTTAGATACGTCTTTATTTGAAACGCAATTGATTTGTTTTCAATATTTGGAGAAGAAAATGAATATGAGATCTATGGCTAAACTAGTGTCAAGGCTAATTTGTTTATGATTTAAAATGTTATTGTGGTGGAAATTTACGAGATAATCTCTCACGGTCAGTGTCAATGTTTGGGTAACTCGCGACGTCTTTGAGCGAAATCAACCATTTATCTGATTAATAACAGGAATCAGAGGATATTAAAGGCAAAACCTGTGGTTAGAAAATCACACGCCGTTTGAATTTGGGATTGCCACAGACTGAAACACATGTTATTTTCCTAAAAACGTATATAAACAATATTGTTAACCAGCGGCTGCCAGGCAGGATACACCCACGTTTTGCAAGAGATGGATAGAGAACAAGCTAAAAACCAAAACGATTTTATTGTACAATCAGGGGCCATAATCCGGAAAGTAATGGTCTGAAACGCGCAAATATCAAAAGGGACTTAGATGTTTGGAATATAAAGATATATTTTAAGTTTCATCAAAATGGGATAAAAATTGTGACCCCTAGAGGGTCAGTAACCTTTGAATTACATACTTATACACAATTTGCATACAAAGAGCGGCCATTTTGTCGGGCAGTTTCATTTCGATTTTTCCAAAATTCCAATTCAACCTTCATTATGCTGGAATGGTGATATATCTAAACGGTTTTTAAAATTGGAAAAAAATTGTGACCTCTAGAGAATCCACAAGTAATGCGATTTTTCGACCAATCAGGGGCCATAATTCAGGAAGTTACGTTCGGATATGTGTGATTATCAAAAGAAACCAATAGTCCTGTGGCTGAGTGAGGGGATCGCTACCCGAGCTGTGAATTTATAAGACCAAGTTTTTCTAGATCAGTTTTTTTTGTGTAGATTCCGAATCTGGATGGTGATCAGTCGTTTGAGGGGGCGTTTTCGAGATATAGGGGGTCAAATGTCTACAATGGGGGGAGGGGGGTCATTATGTTGACATAATGTATTAATAAAATTTCTAGGTCTCCACATCTTTAAATAAGTGTTTATGATGCCCCTGAACACAACTGTTTTGATTGGGGGGGGGGGGTAGTAGGTGTAGGTGTCCGTAGGTGTAGGTGTCCGTGGGTGGAGGGGGGATGTCATTATGTTGACATAAATGATGATCATGTTATATATAAATAAAACGAAAAGTGCGGAAGTATGTGGATGTTGGTGGAACTGACGATCAAGTTATATATGTACATAACTAATAGTCTTTATGTATATTTTAGTAGTATTGAGATAATGACATAACATAACTAATAGTCTTTATGTATTTGTATATTTTAGTAGTATTGAGATAATGACGTCCACTTGTTATAGACCAACAGCTAAACAGGGTGAATGCAGAAAGGTTCGTATATGAAATAGACAAAACTTTATGATATGTCCACCCTCCACACTAGCCTATTATGTATACGGTTTAAGTGGGTACGGTATAGTTAGCATATTGTACATACTCGGAACATCAGGGTTCACTGGGGTAATGTATAGTTAGCCTATTGTAGATACGCTAACGATCAGGGTAAACTGGGATATGGTATAGTTGGCCTATAGATTGGATAAACATCAGGGTTAACTGGGGTAAAAAAAATATTTACACTGTAAAGTTAATATCGTTGACTAAGCATCTAATAACTTTTATAAATCAATATATTCGAGACTAGCAGATCAAAGACGTAATTTTACACATAATGTTTATTAGTTCATTAAAATGGCTTGTAATTTGTCCATGTTTGGGCATGATTAAGCCAAGGATTAAAATATATAGTTACGGTTTTACACCATTAGTGACATCTTATACAGTTAATTAATGACAATTGTAACCACATTATATACATACTTCACATTAGTTTAGAATAATTACTACTCTGATGACAAAAAGTCCCAGGTTCATAAGTCAATGGTATCAACTTACCAGTGTTAGATATTATAGATACGATGACCGTCGCGGTTAACTGATGGCACGGTATCTTGATGGTGGACAGATTCAATTAACTAAAAAGTATGGATAAAGTTTGTATATTTGCTGTATTTGAAGCTTATAGAGATTAATGGGGCAGAATAAATTGCGTTTTTACATCATTAATGGCATTGTATGTAAATTAGCTTTAAAACTAAAACACAGTGTTTAATATATTTTAGGCAACAAGAACAAACAGCAGGACAAATACGGAAAGTGGCTGCTACAAGTAGAATGTTTAATAGATTCAGAGAGTTAAACCGAGATGTTGATGTACATTATGTTGATTACGATCAGAACAATCAGTTGCATCGGCTTTTAAGAACCTATTTCATATATGAAACTTCATTAGGGCGTATTTTGTTAAAACGCCGTGTAGATGAATTAGTTGATGCTGGTATAGACATCAACCTGGTGAATAAGGATAAAGATACACCTTTATCTTTAGCTGCTAGTAAAGGATTGTATGAAGTTGTGATGTGTCTGTTAGAGCGTGGTGCTGATATGCATTATGTTGACGGCCGCCAGAACAACTTGATTCACATACTTTCAGATAGCTTTAACGAGTGTTACAATAAAACACGACGAGATTGGTTAGGACAATGTATAGTTAAATTAGTTGAAGCTGGTGTAGACGCCAAACAGGTTAATGACGATAAAGAAACACCTATAGTTATAGCTGCTAGAAAAGGGTTGTGTGAAGTTATGACATATCTGTTAAAGCATGGTGTTGATATAAATTATGTTGATGGGCGCCACAACAATCTAATACACATACTTTTAGATAGCTATGACAGTTATGCCAATAGAGGTTTACATGCTTTGTTACAATGTGTGGATAAATTAGTTGGTGGTGGTGTAGATGTGAACCGGTTGAATGAATCTAAAGATACACCTTTATCTATAGCTGCTAGTAAAGGATGGTATGAACTGGTGATCTATATGTTAGAGCATGGTGGGGATAAACATTATGTTGATGGTGACAAAAACAACCTGATGCACAAACTTTTATATATGTATAGCCGTGAGGACAATACAGGTGAATATGAGTTGTTACAACGTGTAGTAAAATTAGTTGATGCTGGCGTCGACGTCAACCAGGTGAATGATGAAAAAGAGACACCTCTACTTACAGCCGCTAGATATGGATTGAGTAACGTTGTGATTTATCTGTTAAAGCATGGAGTTGATATTGATAGTTTGAAAGGGAATATTCTTCACTATGTGTTATGGTATATGTATCGCTTTGTGCAATTTGAAGAGAAATATATACATTTCGTTAATACCTTAATAAACACAGAATCGGGCATAAACCAACCTGACTATAAAGGCAATACCCCGTTGTTCCTTGTCGGTACAAACAAACCTCATTCTAATCACATGTCTGGATACAGCGAATGTCTGGATACAGCGAAAGGAATACCTATGAAATTAGATAGAGGAAAGAATATCCAGTGTCTATTGCAATGTAAATTGATTAACATTTTGTTAAAAGCAGGTTGTAATGTGAACCATCAAAACACTAGAGGGCAAACGGCGTTAATGCATCATATAATACAACAAGCTGATATCAGTATATTAAAACTGTTGATTCCGCATTCAGATCTAAGTTTAACTGATAATAATGGCAATACAGCAATTAGTTATTGTGTTCAGTATCACATGTTCAATTCGACAACCGTCTTTAAACTTTTAGTGGATTCAGGTTCAGATCTGATGTCTCTTAACAACGGAGTTAAGTTATTTCATGATATCTTAAAATCTAAGAGGCTGTGGGTGTTCAATTATTGCCTTAGTCTAAATTTGATTGTTAATGGCGTTACAGCTGAAGGAGAAAATATGCATCATCTTTTAGCTGGTGTTAACTATGAATATTCTTTAAAGAAATTTTACTGGTTGCTAAGTAACGATCTAGACATCAACCACCCCTGTTCTAAAACCAACACTCCTACTATGATAGCTGCCTTTCTATTAAACAGCAAATATTTAGAACTGTTGACACGCCACTCTAGACTAGATATCAATACACAAAATAACCAGGGTCATACAGCACTTCATCTGTGCATCATTGGTTTTACGATGTTTAAAGATGGCTTGAACAAGAGACAGGTAAATGATGTTGTTAAGAATTGTTGTAAACAGATATATCCAATATACATGGCTTGTATTGATACTTTACTTGGTGTTAGGGGAATAGATGTTAACATTCAAGATGGTGGAGGTAGAACTAGTTTAATGATGGCTGCTATGAAAAACGACAGAGTTCTTACAAGGAAACTACTTCAGACTGGTGCCATAGTTACCGTGTTAGACTATTCAGGAAGGTCTGCTCTACAATATCTTAATATTTATCAGAGTGTGTTTGATTTGACTTGTTTCAAATTACTTCTATCTAACGGTTATACTGGTCTTCTCAATTTACCCTGTATAGATGGTAACAAGATTATTCAAACAGTCCTGTGTTTTCCTCGCTTATGGGAACCATGTCGAGCAGTTCGTTTTATTAGGTATTTAGTTGCTAAAAACTGTTGTCTTAATATACTAGTAACATCCCCAGTTGAAAGTAACTATAACCAAATTGTTCTGGATGAGTTAAGCCTCCAAGAAAGGGATACACTTAGAAAACTGTTATATCTTAGTGGCGCCCAAGGGGAGCAAATTATGACTTCTTTAAATTTTGACCAGGAAGACAAACAATATGAAGATAACGACAAAATTCGCTCTCGAGACAGGGAAGAATTCATTAGTTTCTGTAGTAATGTATCTCTTAAGTCAATTTGTAGAAGATTCATCAGACAGAATCTTGGATTGGGAATAAAGGAGAAGATGAAGGATCTAGAATTACCTCGTGAATTAAATGATTTTCTCCTACTAAAAGATGTTCTCCACCCACATGATTACAACTTAGACCATATGGATTATGACTGTAATTATTTTGATGATGATGATGATTATGATGGTTATGATATAGATAAAGATAGAAATGATGATTATAGTCAATATAACTACCAGTATGTTACTCTCAATACGGATCATGAACTAAGACAACATTTCATAGAAACATCTATATTTCCTAATGGTGAGGTAGATGATGATAAAGATGGTGATTACAGCCTAGACCATATTGATGAGTGTCTTAAGGTCATAATTTGTTGAATAATTCGCTTGCGCGTAGGAGTCTTTAGTAGTGGGAGGAAACCGACTTGATGATACAGCGCGTACGTGCTAACCATTCGCCCATCCAACCAGTTTGAAGAAAACCAGTTGAGAACCTCAACATACTCTACCGGATTTTGTGAAAAATAGACCATGCTTTCGTAATTTAGTCATTTCCGTGCTATAACGACAGCATCAAAGTTGAGAAGAAGCTACGACGAAAGCTTGAAAAACAATGGAAGTGAACTGGACTGGAAATCCACCGTCAGATGTTTGTCAAACAACGCATCAAAGTCAATCATATGATTCGCAAATCCAAGACCGAATACATCAGTAACAAAGTGCTTGACTTGGAGACAGATGCCAGGGAACTTCATCGAGGCCAGATGGCCAGACAGCCCAACAAGCAGCAACAGACATGTCGACCTACTTTAAAGAAAAGATCGATACGATACACAACAGTCTAGCCGCCAATGGTATTCCAGACAAGTCACCCATTGCTGACAAATGCGAACCTGATCATACCTGGTTGGACATACAACCTTTTACATCCGAGGAGGTTAAGAAGATCATCAAGACATTGCCAACGAAAAGCTGCGAACTCGACCCAATACCTACCACTCTTCTATTAGAATGTTTGGATACCCTTATCGGACCCATAACTAAAATCATCAATCTATCAATATCAACTGGATCTGTGCCATTCTCATTCAAAGAGGCTATCGTTCGACCTTCACTGAAAAAGCCTGGATTAGACAAGAACCAATTGAAGAATTACAGACCGGTCTCGAACCTCCCCTATCTGTCAAAAGTTCTTGAAAAAGCTGTGTCCACCCGCCTATCTTCATACGTGAGTGCAAACAATCTTTTAGAGAAACACCAATCCGCATATCGGGCTTACCACAGTACTGAGACTGCTCTTCTAAAGGTTACAAATGATCTACACATAGCAGCAGACAAGGGTCAGGTTTCATCCCTCATTCTCCCCGATCTCTCCTCGGCCTTTGATACCATTAGTCATGAAATGTTAATATCAAGACTGGAAAATGATCTCGGCAGGTCCTAACCTGGTTCACTTCATACCTCTGTAACAGATCTCAGCGTATTGTGGTTGAAGGAGAAACATCATCGCCAGAGCTTCTTCAACAGGGTGTCCCCCACGGATCAGTCTTGGGTCCGGTACTATTCACCCTCTACACCTTACCGCTCAGTGCTATTGCCTCAAAGCATGGGGTAAACCAGCACCAATACGCTGATGACAATCAGCTGTATCTATCTACCCACGTTGACACTATCAAATCATGCCCAGGCAAAGTCGAATCATGTTGCTCAGACATCAAACAGTGGATGCAAAACAGTTTTCTAAAGTTGAACGAGGAAAAAACCGAATTCATTCTCATTGGTCCAAAATCAAAATTTGGCAAGATTGAACAACCTGTGTCTATCATCATAGGAGATGCCACTGTCACAACAACAATTAAGGTCAAGAAACTTGGAGTCTGGCTGGACCAACATCTTATAATGAACGATCAAGTTTCACATATCACAAAAACTGCAAATCTGCATCTGGCAAACATCAGTAAAATCAGGAACTATCTAAGCCAAAATGCCGCAACTAAATTAATTCTGTCACTTGTAATCTCACGGATCGACTATTGTAACTCTCTTTTGGCAAACATCTCTCAGCAGCAAATAAGACGTCTCCAGATTCTGCAGAATACTGCAGCCAGAAAAGCAACCAAGACCAAGAAAATTGACCATATTACACCTGTACTAAAATCTCTCCACTGGCTTCCCATATCCTCAAGAATAGACTTCAAACTCCTCCTGCTCGCCTACAAGTGTCTCCACAACCTTGCCCCAGTCTACCTATCAGAACTCTTTCCTCTCTACCAGCCATCAAGGTCACTTCGCTCGCAGAACCAACTTCTCTTCACAGTGCCTCGCGTCCACTCAACATCCTTTGGAAAAGAAAAAGATCCTTCTCTTACTCTGCATCTATTAAATGGAATTCTCTGCCACCCAGTCAAACCTCTCTACATTCAAGACTCAACTGAAGACTTTCCTCTTTAAACAAAACTTTGAATAGATAACTAAATTCTACAGCTACTTTCACATCTACACCGCGCACAGAGCACTCACCTGGGTGGATGTGGCGCATTATCAAATGCAATATATTATTATTATTATAACTCCCGTAACGCACTGTCTATTTGTATAATTAAACTACCCAAATGTGTAACAGGAAATGTTCTATAAGCATACATTGATATCCAAAAAGTCGCATAAAATACATCAATTTAAGGTTCAAAATACAATCTATTGAAGTGAGACAGCATAACGCAAAAAATGGCTATTTTGGGACATGTTTATTGATGTAACTCAACTTCGAAGATATATTGACCTAAAATTTGGCGGTCTTTAGGAGAGATCATTATTGCAAATGTTGAATATAAGAAATGGACTGTAAATTCTGGAAATTGTTTCCAAATTGTGTATAACATCAACTATATACCTTATATATTTTATTCGTGTATATAAATTATAGTATAGAAACACCTAGCTTGTAATTGATACACTATATACCTAATTTATATGTATGTAAATATATATCTATCTTGTATAAAAATTATAAATTATAGTGTAGTGACACTTACCTTGTAATTGATACACTGTATACCTAATCTATGTATGTAAATCTATATTATTCTTGTATATATTTTTTTAAAAAAGGAACGTGTGTATTTGAGTTTGTCGCAAATATACTATTCAAAAAAAGTAGGGGATATTTGATTTTTAAGTGTTATTAAAGTCACCTAATGAAACTGACGAAGAAACAAATGACAAAATGAAATGAAGTTCACATTCATCGATTTATTCCAAATGATCGTTAGACTAAGTAAGGCACAGACTGCCCATTATAAGGGTAAAATGATACCCGGGGTCAAACAGCAAAGTTACCACAGCATCACAACCAAGTCAGTAACGGGTAAATCCTCCTCTGTTTGCCAAACAATCATTGATCCGACGTGGCATACTCCTAATGAGACGTCTAAGGTCATTTTGGTCCAGATTGTCCCATTCCTGTTGCAACGCAGCAGCAAATTCTTGGACATTGGCAGGACGTTGTTGACGTTGACGTAACCTCTGTCCAAGCATGTCCCAGACATGCTCGATGGGGGAGAGGTCGGGACTCAGTGCTGGCCAAGGTAATGTGGTGATGTTCTGTTGTTGGAGGTAACCTGTAAAGATCCTGGCCCTGTGACATCTTGCTTTGTCATCCTGGAAGATGAAACGGCGGCCATGACGTCGTGCGAACGGCACAACATGGACTGCCAAGATGTTGTCCCGGTAGTACTGGCCTGTAACACGCCCTGCAACAACATGTAAAGCCGTTCTTCCAGCAACAGTGATGCCTCCCCACACCATAACAGAACCATCCCCAAATCGATCATGTCTGATGACGTTAACGTCTTGGAAGCGCTCGTTTCGACGACGCCACACCCTCCTACGTCTGTCCAAAAAATCAACAGTGAACCTTGACTCATCTGAAAACATCACATTGCTCCAGCGTCGATTATCCCAGTGTTGACGATCCCTACACCAACGACGTCTTGCCTGAATGTGATGATCTCTCAAACAAGGGATCAGGCGAGGACGTCGGGCGCGAAGGTGACCCCTATGCAGTCGATTCCGAATCGTCTGGCCACTCACTCTCACACCAGTGTCTGTTTGAAGACGAGCGCTGATCTGATTTGCTGTGATGACACGATTTCTCAAGGCCAAGGTACGGATAAATCGATCCTGGGCTTGAGTTGTCGCCCTTGGTCGACCTGAGCGTGGTCTGTCCTGTACAGATTGTGTATCACGGTATCTGGACCATAGCCTGCTTATGACAGACTGAGAAACATTCATCGTCCACGCCACAACCGCCTGTGTTGTGCCGATCTGTAGCATGCCAAGGGCACGTAACCTTTCATTTTGGGTAAGCCGACGCATATTAAAATTTGTTTTCTGGTCACTAAAACAATTAAACTGATGTTTCCACCCTGGAATTCAATGCCACAATGACTGTAACATTCAAAGTCAGAGTCGTGCAAATCTTGGGTTGGACCCCCATGATGATCCCAAGCATCACCTGCATTCCATGCGGTAGCTATTGGTGCGTTTGGGCGTCACATGTAACTGGAAATGTTTCTTCTCTTAGGTTCTATAGTGACTTTTTTCGTAGTCATTTGCATATTTTAGTATTATGCCCCCAAAATCAAATATCCCCTACTTTTTTTGAATAGTATAAATTAGTATTCCACCAAATTGAATCTATGGACCCGCACATTTAGCCGAGAGGGAAATGGAATTTAACGTACATTTGACACGTGCATTTGAGGGCTAAGATATGATTGTGTTTTGTCTCAATAATTCGATTGTGCGTAGGGTTTTTTATACGCCAACATTTTCATGTGGACGTTTATTGTCGTCGCCCCTACGTCCGGACTTCTGTCCGTCCACAATTTGTTTGTGGACACTCTACAGGTCACAATTTTGATCCGATTTTGACGAAACTTGAAATATAGGTCTACCTCACAAAGATCTAGATTCCTGTCGATATTGGCATGTCTCGGACCATAACTTCATGGGTTATGACCCCGATTGTACGAATAACCACGTGTTGTAGCTTGTGGACACTCTAGAGGTTACAATTTTAACCCGATTTTGATGAAACGTGAAATATATGTATCATGTGGGTGATTGTAAATACGCCTGCAAACTGTTTACAGTTCTCTACGCTTCATAAGGATCATATTCCTGAAGCAATGATCCGAGAAATCCCTCTCTGGCCATTACTGAATTAGCTTCTAATACTTGAACTTTTGAGTGAGTGTGTCTATATTCTTCCCGTTCAATCAAATCTATCCCCAAGCACAGCAACATGGCAGCCCTTCTTTTACTAAGGGGCCTTTCCTAAAACTTTGGACAGTGATTTAAGGTATTAAAAACGGTGAAATTGTTGTTCGACTCAAAACAGTATTGTTTACATTATGTCCGTACTGATAGCCTCGTTTGTCACACGATTAGTTTTTCTGCAATATTCTGCTATGCACTGGTTAATTGGGCATAATAAAATCGTGAGTCGTGACGTAACGTTATGTAAACATATTTGGTCCAATTTGGAGCTCTGTTTGGTATTGTTACGAAGGTAGCTACTGGTTGTTAATTTAGAACAAGAATTTGCCTTCTTTAAAGCGGAGAGTAATTGGTTTAGCTCTAATCAAACGAAACACTGCGAGGAGTGTGCATAAGGATCGTTGTGAACACTATCATGAGAGTGATTGTAAATACGCCTTCAGAATTTTTATAACAACTCTCAACTGTACGCTTCTTAAAGATCGTTATAAACGCTATCATGTGGATGATTGTATATACGCCTTCGGAATGTTTACAGTCCGCAACTTCTTAAAGTAACTGTGCGTGTTTAACTTTTTTGGGGAAAATACCCCACGACTTAATCCACACTAATATGTATACTGATTCGTTATTTAACATTTAATTAACCTAATCAAGAATAATCCTCCAGGTTGTATTCCACTGGATTAAAAACATACCCATAAGTTAGATTTTTCGAACACTTTAAGATGTCTGCGGACGATGATATCAGGGCGTCACCCGACAATCAACAAACTTTTAATTAGCTACAAGTTTACCATACATTGCAAGATGTGTTTAACGTCAACGAAATGTAGACCTGACATTAAAATGAAATGGGCGTTAACGTCCTACTGTGTTGTTCCTACTGGGCTTATGAAGACGGACATATGCCTTGCCGTGTGCGATAAGGGAAATTGTGCCCGGACAGCGGAAATACCGCCTACTCTTAAATCGAATTCCAACTGCCAATGGAACTTTTACGTGCAGGCCACTGTGTACACATACAGTGATATGTTTAAACCTTTTTGGGTTTTTTTTAAATCCGATAAAAATTGGGAGCTATTTGAGTGCGTATGCGTGATTATCGAAATGAACTGAGATCATCGGTAGATAACACTATATGTCAAGTTTCGTCAAAATTGGATAAACATTGTGACATGAAGAGTGTCCCCAAATACAATGTGGAAACACGGACGAACACACTATCAGACAGGGGCGACGACAATATACGTCCACATGAAAATATGGGCGTATAAAAAACACATTAGTTGAAATATTTTTTATTTTTTTTAAATATTCATCCACGAGATTCTTGAGTTTAGTCATTCTGATGGCAGCCTGTAGTTTATAGGTGCCCATTAGAAAATAAGGTCTATATCACCATTAGGAGATATTGTCAGAAAATATGTTCTCAGCTTTCATTTGTATGCCGATGATACTCAATTATATATTTCATTTACACCTAATTGTCCATCTTCTTTCAATTTATCAAAATTGCAACTTGAGAACTGTATTAGTGAAATTAGAAAATGGATGTCAAAGAACTTTCTAAAATTGAATGATGATAAAACCGAATATTTGTTATTAGGCTCAAGGCATCAATTAAGTAAATCTGCACAAGATAACCCCCCTGTTGTAATTGGTAATTGTGATATATTTTCATCTTATTCTGCTCGTAATATTGGCGCTATCTTTGATAGTTTTATGCTTATGGGAGCTCAAGTAAATAATATTTGTAAATTGTGCTATTTTAATATTAGAAATATAGGTAAAATACGTAAATGTGTAACTGTAGAGGCCACTAAGTCACTTGTTAATTCTCTGGTCACTTCTCGATTAGATAACTTTAATTCACTTTTAGTTGGTTTACCTTTAAACCTTATAGATAAATTACAAAAAGTACAGAATACTGCGGCTAGACTTGTTACTTTAACTAAGAAATGTGACCACATAACTCCTGTTTTATATAATTTACACTGGTTACCTGTTAAATATCGAATTGATTTTATTACTTACTTTTAAATGTTTAAATAATTTAGCTCCTGTTTACCTCTCAGATCTTTTAGAACTTTATACACCTGGCCGAACATTACGTACATCAGATAAACTACTTTTAAAGCCCAAAACTGTTCAACTAGTCTCCTATGGTCAGCGCTCTTTTAGTTATCAAGCACCTGTTTTATGGAATAATCTACCATTTAGTTTAAGATGTTGTACATCTCTATATTCTTTTAAAAAACAACTTAAAACACATTTATTTAATCAGGCGTTTAACTGACTCTGTATACAATCGTTAACATGCCCATAATCTTGTTGTTTATGTGTGATATACATTGTCACTTTGTAAAGTGCCCCGGAACATGTTATATGAAAGGGTGCAATATAAATATGCTGTAATAATAATAATAATAATTTGTCCAAACTCGCGGTGGGATTTCTCCGGGTCCTGCACTCCTTATTATTCCCTGCTGAAAATCCTTACGCGCACGAGAATTATGCAACTAAAATAGTTTTATGATAATTAGTACCCAAATCTCTCTCTCTCTCCCTCTCGTTTATATTTATCTCTTTACTTGTTCACATATTGTTTAGATTTACTCACTGAATTATCAGCCGAAAAGAAATGAAATGAGTTTTAACGTCTCACTCTGCCGAGATGTAAGCTACCGGAACTACAGAATAGTCAGCCAGCGTCTTACTCACAAGGCCATGTTGGTTCCGTATTCACCAGAGATTAACTTGGTGACGTATTGTACCTGTGGAACTTCGGGTTAGTCAGCCAACATCGTACTCAGTGATCTACGATAGCTCCGGATTCATCAGAGATTGAACAAACAGTTATAATCG